AAACATCAAGTACAATAACCCGGTAAAACTCCACTACTCCAATAACTAGATACTTAAACTCCAATACAATTCAACGAGATCTCCGATCTGAACTCAGTGCTGAACAACTCCCCTATATATACCCACACTGTATATAAATAGACCATTACATCAGCATACATAATGTGTCTGGAATTTACTATAAATTTCAAGAATGTTCCATTACCTTCTATTGCCTCCTACAGTGTTCTATTACCCATTCAACCAGTTTCTAAAAAAATCTAGAATATTCCACCCAGACACAGTACGGTTCAAAAACATTCTCAATGACACAGAAGTGGTAAATAAGTCGTATGCGACAGGGTGCTGCATCGGACTCATGATCGGTAGACCCAAGTTCAAATCCAATCTTATGCTGAACACATAAAAGCTTGAGGTGAGTGAGCCACAGACACATTTGGAAGGCCAATTCGAGATTCATTCACTAATGAATGCGACTTTGGGGGAACATTGGCTAAGTTCTGAAGGTACTTGTGTTCGACAGAGTCTGGTTGACGCCAGGACAGCCCCGTAAATTGCCATTTGATATAAAGATTGCCGCACAGTCCTGATATGTGTGTAGTCCCAAAACATGAATATGGCTTCTGTGGCAAAATGCACTATATGTCAGCACTTGCAACTTGCACACACAAAAAAGTCAGGAGAGACAACAGTGACATTCAATGTCCTGAACTGTCGCCTGGCACAAAAAAAAACATTTAAACAAAATTAGTAATAGTAGTAACCTGATTTCTTATATTTGTTGACAGGCAGTGACGATCCACAATTTGTTATAAGACGTTATTAAAACCACGTATGTAATATAGATAGAATCATCAAATGAATTTAAGAAACATGAGATATTGTCACAAATAATAGATTCATGCATCCTAATTTGCGTTGCAGTCATTTTTGTTAAAATTTAGTCACGTCCATAAATTGACCACTCAATCAATACTACTAGAAAACCCATACAAACGCATTTTACTAATATCTTTTACCCACTCAAATAAAGTTTCTTCAACTAAGTCTAATAATGATTTTAAAATCTTGTTATATTTATAATTCAAGAAGAGTGTTATTGTACAACAGACTGTTGTTGGTAAGCGGCGGATGTACAAACGAACGATGTTCATTCGTCAAAGATCTGACCAAACTCCGTGTATGTCAGCAATATGTTTTGTACTCCACTTCTGATAACCCAAATAAAGAGTCACTAATTTTTTTTGAGTCACAGAATAGAAAGGTGAATTGTGAAGTTTGTATGTTATGAGGCCATTAAAGCGTGTCCTTCGTTGAGACACAATCATAGTGTCGTTATCATGAAACACTGTGTAAAAGGCAGTTGAATCACTGAAATGGTGTCATTTGAACATTGCCAAGTGTACATTGGGTCCTGTGATATCATTGTTTATATAAAATATAACAGCGCATTATGCAATCTTATCAATTCTCAATAATAAATATATCTACTGTGATACTTTGTAGCACTGTAATACTTTAAAAAAAATACATTTTTTATAAACGAGTAAAGCTAGAAAGTTTTTTGAATCAGTTTTGATAAAGACGTGCATACATTTTACTGATCGAATACATACTCAACCAGGGGCTGTTTTATTTAACTACCATCGTGTGTTGTACGTTTATGCGGCTTTATTTCTAGTATAGTTATTACCACTACCATCACAATTTGTCGTCATACCTATACTTAGCTTTAACACGCATGTAAACCTAATGGTCCACGCCTCATTGTTTATAGTTACTTAAAATGGAGAAGTCGCTTGATGCAGACACACCGGTCAGAATACGCATACAAAATAATGGCGTGTGTTACCAACAGTAGATTTCATTGACCTCGCAGTAGAACTTGCTCACATACATTATCATTGCACTCGGGTTAAGAACTCTCAGAAAATATAATATTTTGGATATCTACGGGAAGAGAAAATATTTTCATTTCTTTAGTTGGTCTTCTTTCAGATATGGCCCCATAAAACAATTTTTGAAATTATAAAAGACTCAAGTCAGCTATTTTTAATCTTTGAATTTGATTTACTGCACTGTATGTATTGGCAATGTATATGTCGACCTCAATAACAGGGGGTTAACCACAATACCGATGTAAAACGTTGACGTGTTTATACGATCGATTGTTAGTTAGTCAATACGTATATAACACAAACGTGTGGTTGTGCATGTTGCTAATTTTCCTACATTATTAATCTCGAACGAGAAATCAATATTTTCAAAAAGAGAAACGAGTATATTTTTGAATTGGTTAGCGGAAAAATATCTGATAAAAGCGATGCAACATTACATACATTAAATTAAATTGTTGAAAGAATGTTATGCTTCTGTGAGTGAGCATATATGTTTAAAGTAATGTAATACCAAATTACATATTTAGACCCTGACATATTGGCCCGATGATGAAAGAAAATGAAATAATTTACGTACTTAGTACTATAGAATCACAGCGACATTGTAGCGGCTATTTAAATCAAAGAATGTTTGACCACTCAAGGAAGCAGATACGTTTTACTTCTACTCAACAGATCGAAATGAAATTGAATATCTAGACCTGAATTCTCATTGTGTACATACCTTCATGGGAGCAGCTGCAATGACGCTTACAGCAATGAGTACCATCAGTAAACGCAACATTCTTCTTATCGTTGAAGCAGCCTTGGTTATCAGAGACTTTGTCGAATTGGAACGTATAATGCAGGATCACACAACTCCCAAACAAGTTCATTTGCCAGGGTTTTATTGCGTATGGAATGAGATGTCGTGTTTCTATTGGCTCGTTTAGATGATTAGTAATTTAAGTCTTGTACATTATTTTGCTTTGCTATGTTTTGCTACAAATACCATTGGCTGTAATATTTCATCAAACACATACTATACCTATTACTCAATTTCACGTTGACTGGTGACTTTCTGGAATAACACCCAGGTTAAATGTCGATGGATTGACCATTTGGGTAAAGTGTCCCCTGATTGCAATGGTACCCCTACCAAGGTGTAATAATGGTTTGACCTGTGAGGACAGACACCGCATGTTTCCTAAAATTAGTACTGTAAAAGAGTGGCTACACGCGATACTGGTTGGATCTTTGTGGATGAAAAGTAATTCAATAATAGTCCAGGTCTCGAACTGCAATGCATGATGGGACGATCGTTTTATAGTTTTATAATATCTCTGAAGACATGTGATCATACGCCATCTAAATACATTGCATAAATATCTAACTTAGTCGATATCATACTACTCTTCATAGTGATTGTATGATCAACTGATCAAAACAGGAACACATGGTACAAATGTCTAGAAATGTTTACTTTAATAAACAGATCGTGGCAAAAAAACGAAGTGGTGTAATAGTACTATGACTACATACGGCTACATACTACACTAGTAACCTTGGGTCGATGGTTTGCGAAACACTTACGTAACGCGAATTGTTTTATGGTAATTTGATTGGATAAATATTTACCACGAGTAGAAATAATAGGCTGTGCTTCATTATCAGGATAGTTGCGTGCTGATCAGTCCGAGCAGTCCATTTTCAGTGATGTAATATTTTTGCGGGTGGGAGAGACTCGTAAAATGCAAACAAAAAAATACATTTTTTTTTTAATTTGCTATTTTTGGTACAGTACCAGTAATTTCAATCTTTAACAGATCAAAACACGGAATGGCTGTGAAAGGGTTGAAATGTAACTTACGTTGAAATCTGAATATGTAATGTCTTACTACAAATATAAAAATATAAAACATCCAATCAATTGATTTACAAAATTCAATCTGTATTGAGTCACTTTGGATTTGGATCTTATTTTTCTCATCAGGAACATACTGACTATAACATTCACAAAACTAACATGCAAATTTGACAGTGACGGGTTCAAGCTATTGTGACTGTTTCCTTGAATAATGGTTTTATTTATTATAGGTTATTCAGTATGCAGACGGCAATATACCACTAACTGATGACGTCATCAAAGGGGTAAAATGTTTGATATTGAAAAAAAGGATGGCATTACCTTCCGAATGATATATGACATTATTATCTGAATGTGTATCTATTCTACCGAAATCTCCAGAACCACTCGAAGGATTTCAATGAAATTTAGTACTTTGTAGTACGCCATGACTTTCACCTGGGTAATGATAATGCAGGTATAAATATGGAAGCTAATTCGTTGCAGCATAACCGAAATCAGGCTGTGGAATGCAGACAAGTTTATTCCGATGTGGAGTTGGCGTAAAAACACATGGTTCCGGAACACCATATGTTAGTTGAATACCCACATCTAATAAATCCTTAATTAATATATAATATGATCTGTAAATCAAATATCTAGAAATGTTGCACGTACATTACGGTTTAAAAAAATAAGGTGTTCAACCGAGTAAAACAATATAATATGTTGATTGTCTATTTTGACTCATATCGAGGCTAACAATTATCGAACCCGAATTCAACTAGAGCGGTTATATTTAATCGTCATCGCATATTGTATGTTTCGTTTACGTATCCAATATAGTGGTTATCATTGTTATACAATATACCACTACTTAGCTGAACACGCATGCCAACCTAGTGGCGCATGTCTATAAACCAGACATGCACACCTTGTTGTTTGTGAATGATTATTTAAAGAATATCCATCGCTCGAATGCAAATAACAGGGTAGAATACGAATACGAAATGAAGTGTTACCAACAATGAACGGCAGCGTCGTCACATTAGGTATTCCAAACTAGAAACTAGTAAATAGTTTTTGGTAATCTACCCATAATTTGCCTATTTACCTATATGAACATATTTCATATTTGAATGTACAATTTTAATGCTTTTTAAGTAACGTCGCGTATATCAAAAAAGGTATGTTAATGTCCAATATTATTCTACAATGCTGCGAATCTGCAATGGTATTGTAGATTCGAAATGAAGATATTGTTATTTTTATAATGAAATTCCCCGATGGTTTGAATTTTATGAACGGAAATGTAATGTGGATCTATCAAATGAAAGGTATTGTGAAATAAATTATATTCTGCAATAATATTACATTGAAGATAATGATTTTCAGACACCGTTATTTTCATTATGAATCGTCGCTTGTTGGTGTCACTTTAATGACAGGATGACTTGAATATAAAATTCTGCAATTGTGTATTATTAGTACTCTTACTGTTGAAATAACAATTGCCAAAAATAGAACTTTTACTCAGCAAAGAGTGTCGGAGTGCTACAATGAACACAGAGAAGAAATGCAGCCCCCGTACAGTTAGAGGCATGACCTTTGACTTTCATTGGCAAAATATTCTTCAAACTGGTATTTTTGTATTGATTAAATTTGTCCTATCTTTCGTCTTTTTTCCCAGTTGTATTATCACTGGAGCCTTCATCCCTGTCTATTTTTATACACTAGATACCAGGCCGACATCCCCGTACAGGCTAGGCGTACAGCTTATAATATTGTTTATATTTTTTGGTACCCAAGGGTATTATATCGTGTAACTCAATGATTTTACCGACATTTATCGGGTTTTCGTGGCTTAACTTAGAGTTATCCATCTTGAGTCATTTTGCCAGTTATTTTTGTGACTTCTGTCAGCGCCTGGGTTACAACTATTGACATGCATGTGTTTCAACAACGTTATACTATTCGATTGCATGTGAGTATAGACGTAATTTATTGGCAATCTGTTTTTGAATATTTATTCCATTCAGTACATGTATGAGTTTACAATAACTATTTGTTACCCGTGTTATTTTCACCAACTCATATTGCACTCTTCTTTGATTAGCCAGATTGTATGTGGCAATATACACAACTAGATTAGAAATTGTCCACATCATTGAGAGTCACGTGAATTGTGTGTTTCAAAAATTTATGATACAGGCGATCATTTTTTTTTAAATGCATTTTTTGTGGGATGATCTCTAGATCCTACTGTAGGAAAAAAAATATACCGCTTTTCCAATTCACTTATTTGTTTGGAAATCTATAATAATTATTGACAGATGCAATTTGATGAGCCACAAACTATGAGCACTAAAAACGGTTAGGTACATTTCATCAGACTCAGGTTACATCAATATCGTTACACTGAACTTATCACATCGCGGTTGGCCATCAGTAAAGTAACTACAGGAGAGGTGACAGAATTGGAAACAAATTATATTCACAAGAAAAATACTACAGGGATCATTAACAAAGAAAACAATCATGCACACCTAAATCATAGAAAAAAAACATAGTGTAAAAAATAAGTGAACGAAAAACAAATTTAACTAATCCTCCCATAAAACCTAAAATAGCGTATGAATAGTCCCCAATAAAACGTAACTTGCTCGCGTGCATGTATTCCGTGATAGCATTTAATGTTTTAAAACGTTTTCCGGTTATATTTAACTCGCATGGCATGTTCTCTGTGAATCCGTTTTAAATAGTTATATAGTTAAATAACACTACATTCAACCGGTACCAGTACCAGTGTCTATTAAATTACACATTTATATTCTATAGACCTGTCACTCTAACGTATTGTATTGTTGTAGGTAATTAAAAATCAAACGTCACTTGATTGCAGATAAAATAGTGGAATCAACATACAAAATATTGACGTGTATTATTAACAATAGAGTATATTAATAATGTCACACATTGGTCATTCGAAAATATCTGTCACTAATGCTGAGTTGTAGAACATTACACATATTTATTATTATTATATGTACTGCAGTTTATTTTGATTCGTCCCTGAAATCAAAATCGGTATTTCCACAACCCATATGCAAATGAGGTCTGAGAGCAAACAAAGTAGTTCCTTCAGGAGTACAGTTTTTTCGGAATAAACACTATTTAAAAGTACGATATTTTCCCCTTGGGGTACATGAATATACTTGCCGAGTGAAATGAAATTTGAACAACAGTAATGGTCCTCTTAGGCAGTCACTTATTTTGGCCCAAACTAATTTGCATATCACCCATGCAATAATGTTTTCGGTATTTTCACGGTCGATATGCAAATGAACATGGTATTTTCATTGGCTACCGAACTATTTTTATTTTGTAAACACATTATCGTCTGCTATTTTTATCCAGTTCAAATCGTTCAACAACATTTTTGGCATGTCAGATGTACATCACATGGAATACTACGATTGGGAGAACTTAATGTATGTTGACCACCTGGAAACTGAGTTTTATAAACCTTGAAGGGCTCTCAGAAGATCCACCAGCAGTAAAATTAGCGATTACTATGCAGCCGCAACCATCAGCATCGAGATACCAGGTTTCTGCTGGCGACGTTGCGGCGTTACTCAGTTCCAAATAAAAATTACCAACGCCAAAAGAGCAACATTTTAACCGGTAATCAAGACTCAGTCAATCCACGACCAGCAAGCAACATCACACACGAAGTTTTAGCGTGCAGCTAAGCGACAACCGCTGTCGACGAAAGTCGTCCCGTCAGTGGAATACCGCAGTTGTACGGCATGTTTGCCAATGCACAATTCTGTGGCGGAACGTTTAACTTCAACATAAACTGTGTATCATAGTCGTCCAGTTCAAGTTCTGGTTCTGTCGTGGTCCCAACTAAACGTCAACGAGTTATTTATTCTGACAGTGACTCTGATTAGACGTCTAATTATTTTAATTTCAAACAAACAATGACACGCGTTCTCCGGGCGCGTTCTCCACTGA